GTTTTAAACCAGTCAAGACCTACAATAGATTTATTTTTGGGATGTTGGGTTTGTTGTTGTTGGGTTTGTTTATTGTTAGATTCATGTTGTTGTTTTTGATTAATTTGTTGTTCAGATAGAAGTTGTTGATATTGATGTTGAGAGATAAAATTAATATTGTTAAAGATATCAGTTTGTGCAGTAGAGTCATCATCAGTTTCTATTTCAGATATTTTATGTTGTTGTTCTTGCTCTTGTAAAGTTTTTAAGCACTCTGTATAGTAAGCATCATTATTGTAGAAAAGTGCATTGTCTACGAGTCCGTGATTACCATTGGAAACTTTACAGTTAATTGGTTGCAACATTTGGGACATGTATGAGAATGTGTTGTTATGATAGGAGAGGCAGAAATAGTAGTAGTAGAAGTAGCTAGAGCAAAGTAGAGTTTTTTAACTTGATTATTGGAAGTGGTAGGGCTAGCTGAAGCGGATGAAGTATATTGTTTGTTTGATGAAGAGATAAATTGTGTATGAAAGTTGCCACAAAGGCATTTAATGGTGCTAGTAGATGTAGGAGCTGGATAGAAATGGATAGCTTTGTAGTTGCGAAGAGTTTTAGTAATACAAGTAGTAGGTTTGAATTGGGCTGGTATAGATTTGGCTTTGTTTAATTCTTCTTCGTAGACTGCAATACCGAAGATATTTGCGTAACTTTGATAAAAAGCATCAAGATCTAATGAGTCAGGTTCCTGTTTAATTGAGGTAGACATGTTGGTAAATATGTTTGCTTAAGGACGCCAGAGGATTTAAATAGTTAATTAATTAAGTTTCTAGTTAGTTGCTGTTTCTAGATATAGTTGCGGGTCAGTGAATTTGTAGGGGTACTATTACAGTTACTTGGCTTGTGTAACCTTGTATAACCTACTGGGTCCAAGGTTTCACAAGTCACGTGTTACACAAGTCATGTGTTACACAGATCACGTGTTACACAGATTGCACAGTTGTTGTATTTCAAGTAACGTTGCAAATTCTATTGTAGAATAAGTAGTGATTGTAAGTAGTTGCTATCTAAGGATGAAGCTAAGAATAGTTGCCAAAAGGGGGGGACGTCTAAAGCCGTGTCCAGTCACATGTTTTTGATTTTTTATTAAAATTAAGTTAAGGGTTAGTTTGGGGTTAGGTTCAGAGCAGATTTTATAGTAAAATTGTCCTCCCAACATTTTTTATTAATGCACTGAGATGGGTTTAGACTATCGTTTCTTGTATTTTTTGCGATTTTCACTTTTTTTTCGTTGTTTTTGTCTCTTCAGGCTGATCCGTGTTGATCAAAATAAACAATTCTATTGGCTCTATGTCATGTGATGGACACGGCTTTAGACGACCCCCAAAAGGGGATATATTATGCAAATTGTGTGCAAGAATATAAACAAATCGGATTAGCAAGTCCGATTGTTACACAAAAAACGATTTGAATGGGGTAAGCTAAGAAAGAACTTTTTGGGGCTAAGGAGAAAAGAAAAAAGGAGTTTTGATACTAAATAGCCTAGAAAAGTCAATTTTGGGTCAAAATTGACATGCTATAGCTTGTTATGAAGCTGTGTATGAGCTCTACAATTTCTATTATGGTATATGAAGATATTATTAAGTCCAGTTTGCCGGGAGGGGCAAAACTTTGGGGGAGAACAGACTTTTGTCTGTCTGACTTTGAAAGTCGAATATTTTGGGACTGACGATAGATAGAGGCTTGAAACTTTATTAATATATGTAAAAGTAGTAGCTAAACAAGTTTGTTTAAGGACCAAAGGGTTATTAACTTAGTAAAATTTTCCGTAAATTAAGGAAAACGTAAAAAATTTTTGGGCGAAATTTTGTGTACAAGTGATAGACAGAAAGAGTTTTTTTCGATTATTGTTAAAAGGTTGGTTGTTATTAAAAAGTCGATTATTCTGATTGTTATTTGGATTATTGTTATGATTATTATTGAATTTAAACTCATTATTCGTCTATTAATTTTTTTTTATTTCTTAAAAATCTGTCTATAAAGTTAATCCTTCTCAGGTTGACAGTGTCCTGGATCTTCTTTATATCTTACTATCTACTATTCTAATTATTTTCTTCTTTTCTTTCTTTTTTTTTATATTCTTATTTCTATTAGTTTATTTTTCATACTTTTATATTCTATATTTCTTTATTATCTTATATTTTTATTCTAGTTATACGTTATATTTTATTCAAATATTTTCTTTTCTTATTTATATACTATATGCAACTCTTCTCTTAATATTATTTTAATTTTATCTGAAAATATCTCAATCGTATCCCAACTGATGAGGAATACCTGATCTAGTCAAACAACTCAAATCTGCTATTATACAACTACAATTTGATTCTCCTCTAATATCTAAACAAACTGAGTATTATTTTCTTATTCTAAAATTTGTAGATTTTGTTGAGACAACAAATGTTCTTAACCTCTTTCTGCTAGCTTTGGAACAATGGACATATAATTGAACCAGGATTCAATACTTCTATAACTCAACCTATCTATTATCTTGAACTACCCAATATTGATAACCCTCAAGACATACCTTATCAACTACAATCTAAAGTTCAACAACAAAGACCTCGAACCTATACTCTATCTTAGTATACC